AACGGAGGAGGTGCAATAGGAAGGGACGAAGGAGGAGGGGACGGGAGGAGGGGAGGACGAGACGAGCGGGAACGGAGCAACATAGGGTGGGTGGGCAGGACAGGAGAGACGGGACGAGCACGGGAGGGACGGCGAGACCAAACGTGAGACGGAGGTGTAGGGTCAGGGGAGAGCGGAGGGGACACAGGAGGGGAACGAGGAGGAAGACGGGCCGGAGACGAGTCCGGCGGCGGGAACACCGGACCGTAGACAGGAAGGTCAGCAGGGGGTGGGGGAGCCACCGGCGCGCGGTCCGGGGAGGGAAGGCCGAGCAGGCGGAGAGCGGAGACCGGCGGCGACGGCTGCTGCGGCTGCTGCGACGGCTGGGCCGAAACCCTCGGACCGGCAGAGGCAGGACGACCATTGGCAGAACACTCAACAGCAACACCCCCAGAACCAACACCCCCAGAGCGAGAACCCTCTCCAACACCAGCAGCACCCCCAGGAGCCGCAGAACGAACACCCTCCTCAACGCCAGCACCCCCAGGGGCCAAGAGCGGCGGCGGCAGCGGCGACGGCGGCGGCGGCTGCGGCGGGGTCGGCGACTGCGACAGTGGAGGCGGAGACACCGGGGAAGGGGGACGCGGCAAGGACACGCCGGGGGTACCACCAGAGTCAGCAGACTCCTCAACGGGGACAACCGGCGGGAGGGGACACCAGACAGGGCAGGACGAGGCGGGAGAGGGGCAGGGGCTACCGGGGGAGACGGAGCAAGGAACAGGGGGGAGGGCAACCGGGAGACCTCGGTGAGGGAAGCGGCGGTAGAAGGAGACAGACTCGTCAAAGGTGACGTCACGAGAGTGGAGGAAGCGGTGAGATGGCGGGTGGTAGAAAAGCCTGTCAGACGAGTCCAGGGGGAAACCGAGGAATACACAGGGGACACTGCGAGCAGTGAGCTTGTCCGTGCCAGAGGCACGAACGTGAACAAGGCAGCCCCAGGCGTGGAACGCAGACGCGTCATTGGGGGACCCGGTCCAAAGGAGGGTCGGCGAAACCTGCGGCCGCTGGGAGCGTGGCCACAAGTTAAGCTGGTGAGCAGCGTAGCGAACAGCGAACGGCCACAGAAAATGGGGGCCATCGGCATGAATCATGGAGGTACGGGGCGACCTCCATGACCAAGCCGATGCGGCGCTCAGCAACCCCATTCTGCTGGGGCGAGTCCGGCAAGGTGTACGACTGGGTGATGCCCTCCGCACGACAGAACTGTCCAAGCCGACCAGAGGCGAACTCGCCGCCACGGTCAGAGTGGAGACACAAGGCGGGGAGACCACGGTGAAGACGCGCAGCTGCGACCCACGGGAGAAGAACGTCGGGCACGTCGGCCTTCCGCTCCAGGGCAAACACCGTGGTGTAGCGCGTGTAGTCGTCGACGAGCACAAGGAAGTAGCGCTCACCTCGCAGTCCGGGGACGGGGGCAGGGCCCCAAACGTCTAGGTGCAGGGTCTGAAGGGGGGCAGTAGTAGGGCGCAGCGAGGAGGAGTGAGGAGAGCGGCGGAGCCGGCCCTCGACGCAAGGCGTGCACGGTGGCGCAGTCGAGGGAGGAAGGGCAGGGAGTGACGCAGGGAGACCTAAAACAAGACCGTGCTGGGACATGTGACGCAGACGTGGGAGAGCAGGGTGACCCAGGCGGTGGTGCCAGAGAAGGGATGGGTGAGTGAGGGACCGACACGAACAAGCTGCAGTGACCTGGGAGGACGCACCAACCGGGGGGGAAGCGGTGTTTAGGGTGTACAGACCGGACACCGGGTCCCGGGGGAACGTCGCAAGAAGCGAACCTAAGACAGACTCAGAACAGACAGCGAACCGCTCGTGCCCGGGGAACGTGGTGGTGACGCCGAGGTCCTGGAGACAGCCGACACCAACCAGGTTCCTCGAGAAAGAGGGAACGTGGAGACCTGTAAGGGAGCCCGAGGGAACTGCTGGACAGGGAAGGGACGTAGAACTGCGAGCGACGACAGGACCCGCAGAGGGGTCAGCGAGAGAGACAACAGCAGGCGTAGCAAGCAGCGTGAGCGCGGAACAGTCGCGGAAGAAGCAGGCAGAGGCACCGGAGTCGAGAGTGAAGGACAGCGGAGCATCGGCGGAGGCCGGAAACGGAGCCGGTGCAGAGACTAGGCTAGGCAAACGAGGCACTCCTACGCCTGACGCAGCAGGGGAGGCTAAGCTACACAATGGGGCAACACCTAAACTAGAGTACACAGGGTGATAAGATCCAGCGACACTAGAAGCGTCAGGAATACAAGGCATGCAAAGCAGCACCTATCTGATCCATGTCTAACTCAAAGATCGGCACGTCCTGGCGGAGCAGGCTGTGCCAGTCGGGGAGGTCCGGGGCCGGGCCAAAGCGACGACGAAAAAGATCGTCGAGGCGGCGGAAACAGCGGGCGGTCGGGTGCGGGCGGTGGCACAGAGTGCCGCGAAGAGGCCTAGTCTGAAGCTGGTACTGGCAAGTGACAGCACCGGAGCCGCCGGTAGACACCGAGCTGCGCAGGCCGCCACCACGGCCACTACCTCCGGAGGTGCTGGGCCAACCAGGCGGGAGATGGGCCCACGGCTGCGACGGCTGCTGCTGGGACGGCGGCTGCTGCTGGGGCTGCTCCTGCTGCGGCTGGGGCTGCTCCTACCGTCACGACCACCACCACCACCACCACCTGCACCACCACCCCTACCTCCCTGACGACCACGGCCACCGCAGCGCGAGCGCTGCTGCAGGTGGACCGCAGCAGCCGTCTCGGTGAGAGGGGTCGCCGTGGCGACCGCAACCGAAACGTTAGTGAACGTGCACTGGGAGGGGGCACAGCCGTGAAAGATAGAGACTGCCGGCGCACCGCTCGACTGAGCGATAGTGCGTTGGCGAGTCTCGATCTCGGTGAGGGTATTGACAAAGGCGGTGAGGGTGAGGTCACCTGGGTGCTGGCTAAGGAAGTGATCGCGAGCACTAGCGAGGCGGTCTAGCAGGCGCATGACGATAAAATAGAGCGTCATGCAGAAAGGGGGGGGGAGTGCAGTGATTTGGGCAGCAGTGCTGGCAGTGCGATAGCGGGTCTCTAGGGCACGCAGGTGAGTGGCAAAGTCTGCGACGGTATGGAAGGCTGCAAGGTCTGGGAACGGCATCCGGAAGAGCAGGCGGCCAGCAGAAGCAGACGTGGGTGTGGAATAGCGAGCAATAACGGCGTCTAAGTAAGCTTTGGCTGTCTCAACAGTAGCGAAACTCGAGCGCTCAGACACAGGGAGGGCGTGGCTAATAGCAACCTGAGCGACTGCATCGCGGAAGTCCCAGACCGCATAGGCAAGCGCAACAGTAGAGAAGGTCTCACGGTCATCAGAGGAGGGGTCAGCAGGGAGGGGAGCAGGTGCGGGGGGGCGGGGGAGCAAGCCATCCACATGGACAGCCAAAGAGTGGCCATCCTGGCGCTGACCTGTAAGGTGGCGGCGGAGATCGGAGAGCCAGGCGGCGAAGTTAACCGCATGGCCCTCGGCGTCCAGTCGGAGCACGAAGTCAGCCATCGTGCAGGGTCAGCGGCACAGCTCCACAGGTCCGCATGAACACAGCGACGCAGGGACACGGCAGCGGCACTCTCCAGCACGGTAGCCGCGAGGCGCCCCAGAGCTGGCGAGCAGAGTAGACGGAGCCTGAGGTGGCACGGCAGGCCGAGCAGGCACGAAGAGCGGCCGGGCGAGCAGTGGGAGAGGCCAGGTAGACGCGGCGGTGCCAGGCAGGCGCGGCAAGGCCAGGCAGGCGCGGGGGGCAAGGCAGGCGCGGCGGGGCCAGGCAGGCGCGACGGGGCCAGGCAGGCGCGGCAGGGCCAGGCACGCGCGGCGGGGCCAGGCAGGTGCGGCGAGGCCAGGCAGGTGCGGCGGGGCCTGGCAGGCGCGGCGGGGCCAGGCAGGCGCGGCGGGGCCAGGGAGGCGTGGCGGGGCCAGGCAGGCGCGGCGAGGCCAGGCAGGCGCGCCGGGGCCAGGGAGGCGCGGCGAGGCCAGGCAGGCGAGGCGGGGCCAGGCAGGCGCGACGGGTCCAGGCAGGCGCGGCGGGGCCAGGCAGGCGCGGCAGGGCAAGGCAGGCGCGGCGGGGCCAGGCAGGCGCGGCCGGGCCAAGCAGGCGCGGCAAGGCCAGGCGGCAGGCGCGGCGGGGCCAGGCAGGCGCGGTGGGGCCAGACAGGCGCGGCGGGGCCCGGCAGGCGTGGCGAGGCCAGGCAGGCTCGCCGGGGCCAGGCAGGCGCGGCGGGGCCAGGGAGGCGCGGCGAGGCCAGGCAGACGCGACGGGGCCAGGCAGGCCGCGACGTGGCCAAGCGGGCGCGGTAGGGCCAGGCAGGGCGCGACGGGGCCGGGCGGGCGCGACGGGGCCCAGGAGGGGCGTGACGGGGCGAGGAGGCGCGACGGGGCTAAGAGGCGCGACGGGGCCTAGGAGGGGAGCGACCGGGCTAGGAGGCGCGACGGGGCCCTTGAGGGGGCACGACGGGGCCCAGGAGGGGCGCGACGGGGCTACGAGGCACGGCAGGGCCCAGGAGGGGCGCGACGGGGCTAGGAGGCGCGACGGGGCCCAGGGGAAGCGGCGTGGCCTAGCTAGGGTACGGGCGGAAGCGGTAGGTGGGGGTTTCTAACCTACGCGTGATACCATGTCAAAGTAAGAACTGAATAATGAACTGGAAGTAGAAACCTAGAAGAAATACTAGTTGGTTGTACTCACTTGAAGCGTACCCCAGTCTAGCCTATAAGTTGTACACAGCTAACATGTATGAGTTGACACAATGCACTGGCACTACAAGCTTCAAATAGTATGAATGACTAGTGTTCATGTCTTAGTGTAGTAACATAAGGTACTGTATTTGAATTGGAGTGAAAGGCAAACTGTACAATAGCCTCCACTAAAAGCATCCCCCCAAATTTTAGCAATTGCCGAAGGCTGGCTTGCTAGATCCTTCTATGGATATGAGGCTGATGCTTGAGGCACATGTGTGCAATGCCACTGTATCATGTTATTCGTCAATAACAATCTCATAAAAAATGAAAGAATTAGGCATTGCCGTAGCATTGTTTCACCACCAATGCAGAACCGCCCTTCACCTATCAGGACCCTACCACTCGCTAGTAAGCTTCCTTTCTGCCTCTCATTCCTTGCCCCAGTGGCCTCCCTTGTCTGCTACCCTCAAGCCAAGGCTCGGAATCAAGCCCATCAGCCACAGCAGGAGCCCCAGAAACCACAGGTCTGGCAACAGGTCTGGGAATAGGTAGAGATGCCACTGCAGCAGACCCGCCCACTTTGGACCAAAGAGTAGGTCTAGGGAGGGGAGCCATGGCAGACACACCAAGAAACTGCATTCTCCCCGCCAATGTCTGATTACCATAGTATGTTACGTGTAGATCGGTCAATTTTCCACCGTAGGATCGGCCATAGGATAGGACAGCGCGGACCAGTGATGGGGTGGTAACCCGCCCCTGTAACATCCAGGCGGGTTGGTTGTTGTAGGACCACGCGACCCAGGTTCCGTTCACAGAGAGAAAGTGCTTTGGAGACGCGAGGGGGTTACAGGGGTTGCCTATAACGAGGCTGGAGTGTGCAGGGGGGAAGGCGGTTCCGGAGATTACGAGGGAGTAGGAAACTGAATCTTCACCAGATCTGCAATGGAGAGAGGAAGGGGGTGGGGAAGAGGGGTGGGGGGATGGGGGAGAAGGGGAGAATGGGGGGAGGGGGAATGGGGGGAGGTTGAAAAGGGGGTTGGATTTTCAGGCAGGGACAGTTAGGAGTTTCAGACAAGAAGGGGAGGGGGGAGGGGGGGGGGGGGGGGGTGGTGTGTGAAGAAGAGGGGGGGGCGTGGCGCACAGTGAGGAAGGAAAGGGTGACAGTACTCACCGTGACTTTAACGAGGAAATGGTGGCGACACCTTTCATCCCTTGGTATACCAGGAGGCACGGCTTTAAGGGCGACTCCGAGTGCACTGTTGCGTGAATGGGAGGGGAGGGGGAGGGGAAAGACGGCGGGGGGGAGGGAGAGGGGGAGATGGGGAGGGTGGCGCACGGTGAGGGGAAAAGGGCAACGGAAGAATAACGAAAAGGGCAACGGAAGAATAACGAAAGCGACGCTTCAGAAGCCAGTCGGAGTGCATTGTAGCGCACGGAAAAACAATTTCGACCGACGGCAGGAACGACTTTCACCGAACTACGAGAAATGATATATCAGACGACGAATAATCGGACGCACGGACTCCAACGTCAGCCGCAAAAATTACGGCGGGAGCACCGCCAGGAGACACCGGCGGGAGCACTAACCTAGTAAATTTCCTTCCACGGCTACGAGGTGGTGGCAGCATCTTAGACGCGTGTTGATGACTTTTGAGTCGACTCAATAGTCACCTCGTATTTCCCGCCATGGCTGCGAGATGGTGGCAGAATCCTAGGCGCACGAAGGCGCGCGTTGATCCCGTAGCGAGAAAACCGTTGAAACACCGTAGGGAGCACTTACCTAGGATTTTCGGCCATTGTTGCGAGGCGGCGGTAGCATCTATTGCGCGCGTTAATCCCCATAGCGACGCGACGACTGAGTTGAGGAGAGGGGAGAGGCGAAGGGGGAGCAGAAAGCCTAGCGGGTCAGATTATAATTCGGCTGATTGGTACGGAAATTATAATGTAGCGGAAGAATAAAGGGGAAATTATATATTTAAACAAATATGAAAAAAGTTTAGGTGAAGACGAGCGTGGTAAGAGATGCCTCTGGAAATGGCGAAAATGGTAAATAATTACTGTCGAAAGTGGTTAGCCTTTGAGTCGGCTCAAAGAAAAAGCACGAGATGGCACCGCAAGAATCAGTACCGAGAGTGGTCATGGCAATCGGCAGCGCGAGACGGCACCGCAACCGAGTCATCATTGCGATGATGGCGATCGCTGGCGGACGATGGACGATGGACGATGGATGATGGATGATGGACGATGGACGATGGCGCAAGTCAGATTAAGTTAGAGTCCGTCGTTGTCAGTAAGCGGGCTCTAAAACGATCAGTGGGACTAGAATGGCTCAGGACCACCGGATAGACGAGTTTTGGATTTTAGAATTCTCAAAAACAAAACGGACCACCGGATAGACGAGCGGCGAGCTCGGCGCGACTAGACTAGCAGCTGACCATCTGTGACGAGGCGCCTGGAGTTTCGCTAAAGTCCCAGACGCGTTTCACGGTGGGGCGGCGAGGTATGATAAAGTGCGCGGGTTGTTGTGAATGGAATGGAGCAGACTGGTCAAGCGCGTGGATTGTCAAAAGGTGTCTGCCATTTTGAAACCAAGAAGTAAGACTCTAGAGTTGATTGGGGAAGACTCGCCAAATGCCCAAACTAACGCTAGACTAGGGCCCTGTTCTGTAGGCATTGATTTGATCAGATATCCTGTCCAATTGAAACAGCTCAGGCTATTTCCAAATTTGCCGAGTCAACGAAACAGCGCGGGGCCAGAAAGCGAAACCACATTATCTGAAATCGCGGCTTCGCAACGGGGAGGAAACAATTTTCGGCACTGCCCAAACTAGGCCTGCAGCCGCAGCAAAAAAAGTGAGGAACGTGTCAACTATGCGTGTGTGTGGGGTATACATTTTTTGGGGGGTTTTGTTGCAGCCGTTACCGACTATTTTTCTGGGCGTCTAAATGCTGCCCGGGACAACTTGTTCATCCCGCGTCAAAGCTTTCGGAGGTCAGTTGCAGATTTGACGAGTAGTTCAGCTGCTCTGCCCCTGAGTACAATTTACAGGAAGCACCCTGTTTGACAACTTGTCATTCCCGCGTTGGTGTTCTGCAGGTTTTCGCTGAGCCTCGATAAGTAGACTTGCACTTATCAGAAAACCATCCTGAGCGCGAACTTGTCAAACGTGCCCGCAGAACAGGGCTTAGACTCTTCTTGGTGACAAAAGCGCAGCAGGGATTGTGGAGCAGGAAGGCTGGGCCTGAATGATGGTGAATTCCGCAGCGAGTGTTAGACCCGAAGTTTTAGCGGGAAGATTGGGGGGAGGGAGGGAGGCGGGACGTGGGGAAATTCACGTGTGTGAGGGGAGGGTAAGGGGAAGAGCTGCGGTGTGGAGTGGATGAAACATGTGCGCTCCGCGGTGTTCCATTCGCGCCTCGTGCGGGGCGGGCAGCCAGGCAAACAAACCACCTGGGCCCGTCTGCCACAGGCTGGCAGGGTACTGCTGAAATTGGATTCTTTAGCCACCACGTCGAACTTCGGCGAACGGGAAGAAAATTCCATTCTGGCCCTGCAGCAGCCTACCACTGCCAGTCGCTGGAATTCTTGCGGTGGTTGGTTGGGACTAAACTTTCGCGAAAGATTCGCGCGAGGTGTGATCTCAAATTGAATGCCAGCGAAAGGAGGAGGCTGGAGGTGGTGACGACAGCGGATTTCATTTCGTCCCAGCTGGTTACAGTACGAACATTTGATTGGCACAGTGGGTGGGAGGCGAAACTACCACAGCAGGTTTGATGTGCAAAAGGAAGCGATACAAGACGGAGCTGACACCACACTGGAGCTTTTCACTTAATTTCTAAGCGAACCCAGCCTCAAGTTCTTACGTCACGGATGGTTCGTCACTGATTTCTTCTGATTCATAATTACCAAGTCAACGTTGCACCTGCAATCGAATGGGGCTTTAGCGTGTACATCATTCCCCAATCTCAAATGAAGCGGTGCAATCCAGCTGCTACAGATGTCGGAATCTATTAGGCTATGACAAATTGATAAGAATTGAGATTAACACAAAAGAGTATGATTTTGAAATTGAATAGGACAAGAGTGCAATAGTAGAACTGTAGCACATATAGATGGGATTATAATATTCTTGTAAATAAATAGAGAAAAGATACTGAAGTAAGTAAAAAGGGACTTACGGGAGAGACGCTTGTGAAGAAAAGTGAGGGACTTACTTATGCGTATCATATAAAGTAGTGGAGATGTAGAATCTCGGGAGTGTTCTTGATAGAGGAAGACTTGTACTTGGGAAAGGGTCTTGAGCTTGGAATAAGACCACAAGCTTGACAGGACCACAATTCTGGATGTGGTTGAAAAAGAGGATCTCGTACTTGAAGAGTGAAGATGCCACAAGGTAGAGTGTTGAAGAGGGAGGTCTTCCTACAAGCTTGCGGCTTGGTGATGCACCTTATACTCAAGTCGCTGAGCAACAAGGTCAGCCAGCGGAGCTCCTAAGCCGCCATGGCACCTGCGTAGATCTCAGCCTCACAACTAGACTGTGCAATAGACGAGGAACGGGTGGACCTTTTGAGATGGCACCTGCACTTACGCTAAAGGAGTAGCCCTGGGAGGACCTGAGAGTCTCAGCGTCGTCTGCCCAAGAGGCATCTGTGTGTCATGTAAGGACCACTGGTCTACGTCATCCCAACACTAGCCCCATGCCTGATGCACTTGCTAGATAACGCAAAACCCTCTTAGCGGCCGACCAGTGCTGTGGTCGGTGCCTGCCGGGGGCCACAAAGCGAGCCAGGATGCTAAGAGGTTATGCGAGATCTGGACGAGTGCAAGTCATCAGGTGCATGAGGCAACCCACCAGCTCTGCGTAGGGGCCACTAGGCTCTACAGTCTCCTCCAGGACTGGGGCAGAGAGTCTGTGGTCTACTGGCAGAGGGGTGGGCTGTGCGGAAGAGAACTGAAGGCCGAACCGCTGAAGGACCCGGCACACCAAGTGTGACTGTGTAAGAGTGATGGTGCGCGCCGCTCTGTCCCTAGAGATCTGTAAGCCAAGGTAACGGCGCAGCTCTCTTAGGTCAGTGCGGGTGTGTCTCTTCAGCAGCTCGGCCTTCACTGAGGCCAGCGCGTCTCTGTCTGCAGTAGCAAAGATCAGGTCGTCTACGTAGACAAGGATGTAGAACGGAGTCTGGCCGGAACGGACGTAGAGCGAGGGGTTTGCAGACGAAGGGAAGAACTGCAAGTCTGCAAGTATAGCACGCAGCGTGTCGTGCCATTGACGGGACGCCTGTCGCAAGCCGTAGACGGGGCGCCGGAGGAGCCACTCGGTGCTAGGGGGGAAGGTACCGGAGAAGCCCTGTGGGCGGCGCAGGTAGACCTGCTCGTGTAGACTGCCCTGAAGGAAAGCTGTGGAGAAGTCGAGGGAATGCAGCTGTGGTACGTGTAGTAGTGCCCGAAGAGTAGTCATCTTCGGGGTCGGGGCAAAGGTCTGAAAGAAGTCCACCCCCTCACGCTGACTGAAGCCTCGAGCAACGTAGCGCGCCTTGAAGACATGTGGCTCTCTAGGAGGGCGCTTCATCTTGAAGAGCCACTGGCCATCGACTACGTTCACCCAAGGTGGGGGAACTGCATCGACGAAGGTACCGGTGGATCTCCAAGATGCCATCTCCTGCTCCATGGAAGCCATCCACTGAGAGGCCCAGGGTCCCAACCGGGCGGCTAGGGCTAGGACTAGAACTAGAGCAGAAGCGCGGGTGGGCATGGAGGACCTAACCTAGCGCATGATACCATCTCTGAGTAACGAATAGACTAGAATGTGAGATACAGTGTGGTTTTATGCTAAGGGTTTGTACTCTCTCTAAGAGTACGCACCTATCTAGGCTGCAACTACTTATAGATATATGTTTGACATACTCATAGTAGTCTAGGAAGAAATGTAGCATGATAATATCATCTCTAGAGACATAGAACGAGAATGCTAGCAAGGAGCATTTGTAGTGGTGTGAACTTGAGGGCCTTAAAGAAGACGTGAAGGGGAACTTGAAGGAGGAGCTTGGAGATGCTTTGTTGGACTTTGAGAAACTTATGGAGAAGTTGGAGAGGATTCTTGGTGAAGATGAATAGCAGCGGAGCATGTGATGGTTGTTGAGCCTTTGGTGATTTGGAGTTGTAGACCATGCGGTGTTGAAGAAAACTTGGATGATTTGGAAAGGAAGGAAAATAGGAGAAATGAAAGCTTTGTTGAGTTGGAAGGTGATGAATGTAAGGAATCATGAGAGTCTTGTATGATGATGTGGCAACTTGGATGACTTTGGATTGGAAGGAAGGAATAAATCAGGTGCTTGTGGAGGTTGATAATTAGGAAAGAGAGGAATGTGCTTGAGACACATGTGAGGGGGATTATTAGTTGGAGTTGACTTGGGGAATTCTTGATGAGTAGGAAGAGAGAGCACATGGAAAATGATGAAAAGTCATGTGCACTCAGGTGGGAGTTGGAGATGAATATGAGGATTTTTTGGAAGCTTGGTTGAGGTGGACTAGGAATGATTATAAGAGTTGGGGAAAATTAAAGCGAGGATCCCCAAACCTCCTCACATACTTAGGATTTGATCCTGGGGCATTTTTGGTTGGGGACCAAGACCTTAGGTTGGAGGAGATAGCTGGAAGAGTTGGGTTGGAAATTTGGTAGGTAGAGTAGGTTTGGTTGGTGGGAAATGGTTCGGGTAGGTGAAGAATTGTAACGAGCGGTTTTGGAGGGGAAGGGGTTGTAGTGGAGAGAAAAATGTGGCACGCGCATCACGTTCCACTCACAACACTAAGCCAGGATTAATCTCTAGCACGCTTCGGACACGCTGAAATCATGCTCGTTGTAAACCTACTGGGACACGGCTTATAAACCGCGCCATGGGGCGGCGTCGGAACAAGCAGAGTGGTCGTGCTGCGGCTGCGAGCTTAGAGCCCGTCTCAGGCTCTGGTAACCCGATATCGCGAGTTCGTGAGCCTTATGTCAGTGTTCCATCGAACGTCGCCGATTGGCGGTTGCTCCATCTCGCCGCAAGAGACGGCGACCTGGGTCGCGTACAGGACATTCTCGACCGTAGGATCGATGCTGGCGAAATCAGTAATCGCGAGGGACGTGTTACAAGATCCACACTCCTCGCAGCAGGAGCATCATGCGTTTTGGCGAGTAATAGGGTTACAGCAGAACAATCCGAATTCGTCAATTCTCGCGATCCTTCCGGGAAGTCCGCGCTTCACGAGGCATGCGCACACGGGCACGCGGAGATCTCCCGCCTGCTGCTCTCGCTCGGCGCGCTGCCCGCTGCGCGGAAAGCCAACGGCTTCACTCCGCTCCTCTGCGCAGCCGCAGGGGGGCACGCGGAGTGCGCGCAGCTGCTTCTGGCGCACATACAGGCGGGGGAACGCCGGGGGCCAAGCGGGGGGGAAGGCACGGGGGGAAGCTGGGGGAGCGGGCGCATGAGCGGGTGGCGGGCAGCGGATAGGTGCGGGGAGAATGCTCTTCACCTGGCAGCGCGCGCCGGGGCAGAGGAGGTAGTAGCGATGCTTGTAGATGCGGGGGAGAGAGAGGAACGGGAGGCAGGCGACCAGGAGCAGAGGATTATTGACACTGAGCCACGTCAGCAGCAGATGGATCTTAGACAGGTGGAAGGTGGTTCATTAATGGAAGGTGCTGAGCAAAGTGGGGAGAGATTGGAGGATAGAGAGATGCAGGAGGGTAGAGGGGGTATTGTTTCTCCTACACGCCCCGCCACACGTGGCATGGACGTTGAATGCCGGTTTGTGAATGCGCGCACGCGCAACGGCCGCACGCCTCTGCATTCCTCCTGCCTGCATGGCCACGTGGCAGTCTGTGATTTTCTGCTGAAGCATGGAGCCAATCGCACGGCACGGGACTCTTCTGGGTCGGAGCCTATCCATGAAGCAGCCGCTGGGGGCCACGTGGCAGTCATTGATTTGCTCACAGGTGTTGTGGATCAAGCCCATCGAGTTGATGTGAAATCGAGGGATGCATCTGGAGCCACGCCTATGCACCGAGCTGCTGCTGCTGGTCACGTGGACGCCATGCGTGCGCTGAGTCAGCACGGCGCTGAGCTAGAGACTGTGGATAACGCAGGCACCACGCCGTTGTACTGGGCGGCGAGTAGGGGCCACGTGGCAGCTGTTGAGTGGCTGCTGGAGCAACAAGAGCAGGAAGACCAGAAGCAGGTACAGAAAGGACGAGCAGGAGGAGGAGGTGGTGGAGGAAGGTACGGCAAGGAGAGAAGCAGTAGCAGTGAGGAGAGAAGCAGCAGCAGCGAGGAGAGAAGCAGCAGCAGCGAGGAGAGAAGCAGCAGCAGCAAGGAGAGAAGCAGCAGGGAAGGTGGGGGCAGGAGCAGGCGCAGTGCGTTGCATGTAGCAGCAGGGTGGGGGCATGTAGGAGTGTGCTCTGTCCTCCTGGCCTGGGGGAGATTTGATCCCCTGGGACGGGATGCAGATGGGTCAACGCCTCTTGATCTGGCCAAACGGTTGTCTGATCGGGCCAAAGGAGAGGAGCTGGTCAAGATGATGGTCACCCATATGGCTGATGCTTGTAAATAAGTTTCTGTGCATGCTGTTTTTGGTAAGCTGATCTGAATCTGCTGAGTCAAAGCCCATACCTGCAGCCGTGCATGCGTGCTTTATCATGTCGTGGCACTGGGATAGCCCTATCGAACCTCTTCTCTCTCTAGGGAGGGTACCGTAATCCCCCGGGTATAACTCTCAGTCAGAGTAGCGGAGTGGAGTAAACTAGACAAGACGGTGCAGGATAGTTTTGTGCTAGGTGTTGTACTCCCTATGGGCATGCACCTAAAAACATAAACAAATATATGTTGACACACCCCCTAGGCTAGACATGGGGCAGTGCCTGACAAGAGACATGTGTCAACTTTCTCCCTTGTTCTCTCTTGTTTCAATCCATTCTAGTATTCTATTCTAACATGGTATCATGCATAGGTTACGTCCACCCCACCCGCTTCCGCCCTGCGCCCTAGCCTACTGCGCCCGTCGGCCCCTAGGGGGCTCGCCGTCCCCTCGCGCCGTAGACGGCCCCGCGAACGTAGTCGGCCTCTCGCCCCCAGCCGTCCCCCTCTCGCGTCTCGTCGGCCCCTCGCGCTTTAGCCAGCCCCTCGCGCTTTAGCCAGCCCCTCGCACCGTCGCTGGCCCCTCGAGCCCTAGTCGGCCCCTCGCACCCTAGCCGGCCCCTTGCGCCCTAGCCGGCCCCTTGCCCCCCAGCCGGCCCCTTGCGCCCAGCCGGCCCCTTCGCGACCCGCCGGCCCGCCCCTCGCGCCGTAGCCAGCCTCTCGCGCCTTCGCTGGCCCCTCACGCCGTCGCCCGCTCCTCGCGCCCAGCCGGCCCTTTGCGCCCAACCAGCCCCTTGCACCCAGCTGGCCCTCTCGCCTCGCCGGCCCCTTCGCGACCAGCCGGCCCTCCTTCGCGCCTTATCTGGCCCCTAGCACCGTCGCCCGCCCCTCGTGCCGTCGCTGGCCCCTTGCGCCTGACCGGCCCTTCGCGCCCTAGCTGGCCCCTCGCGGCTCGCCGGCCCCTCGCGCCTGACCGGCCCCTCGCGGCTCGCCGGCCCCTCGCGCCTCGCCGGCCCCTCGCGCCTAGCCGGCCCCTCGCGCCTCGTCGTCCCCTAGCGCCCAGCCGGCCCCTACCACCTAGCCGGCCCCTCTCATGCGCACCACCGGCCCCCACGCGCCCTGCCGGCCCCTCTCCACACGCCGGCCCCTTGTGCGCCTCGGCTCCTCGCGCGCCCTCATCGACCTTCCGTCCGGTTAAGGTCCTGCCGCCGCATCGTTGTCTCGCCGTGCCGCTGAGTCCCTGTGCCGCTGTGTCCCTGTGCTGCTGTGCCGCTGTGGTTGCGCGATGGCGGACGCCATGCTACGTCTGGACGCGGAGGGGCACGCGATCAACTTTGCCGCCTCGCTTGTCGATCTCCGCCGGCACTTGACAGGTCAGTGCTAGGATGGGCACTCCCTGGCTATGCATGTTGATGGCTTGCTTCCTCGCCCCGCCGCTCCTGATCCCCTCCCTGTTGACCCGACCACTGCTGAGAGTGAGGCATTTGCTGGTGCTGCACTCGCTCGCGCTGTCTGGGATTCTCGCGATGCTGTAGTGCAGCTTGCCATTAGTCATGCGCTTCCCCTTTTTGAGCGTCCGCGTTTCACTACTGTGGCGAACTCCAAAGACTTCATAGATAAAGTAGTTGCACGCTACTCTACGCTACTTTGGCCTCAGCTGGCCGCATGATCCTCCGCATGATCCTCCCCATGCTCTTCCCCGATCTCTCTGCTTTCCCCAGAGTTGCTGATCTCGCCACTCACCTCCGTGCACTAGAGACTAGCTACCGTGCTGCTAGCAATACTGCCCAGCTCAGTGCCTTCCCCCCGCCGTTCTGCTCTACCCTGTACCTTATTGCCATGCGCCTCCCTGACCGCTTAGCCACTGCCCGTGACCACTTCCTTAGCCACCACCCTAGTGACCTCACCCTGACCACTTGTGTCGATGCCCTTTCTGAGATAGAGACCCGCCCGCGCACTATCACTCAGTCGAGCGGTGTCGCGGCAGTCCCTATCTTTCAGGATTGTGCTCCCTCCTCGTGCACGTACGCGGACGTTTCCGCTGCGATCGCTACGGTTACTCCTGCCCCTGAGACTGCAGCGGCGGCCTTCCCGCAGCAGCAGCGCCATCGTCAGGGCCATCGCGGCCCCAAGAGAGGGCGTGGTGGTGGTGGTGGCGGTGACAATGGTTCTGACGAGGGGGCTGGGGCAGGTGTCAAGGAGCAGCAGCAGCCTCAGCAGTCGCAGCAGCAGCCGCGGCAGTCGCAACAGCAGCAGCAGCAGCAGTCGTGGGCCTGCCTCCAGTCGGGTGGCCGGGAGCCCCTGGAGGTGGTGGCCAAGGTGGAGGTCCTCGCAGCTCGGCGTCTACCGGCGGCTTCAGTGCAGTGGGCTGCCAGTACCAGCTCCAGACTAGACCCCTCCGTAGCACTTTGTGTCGCCGCCCGCTCCCGACCACCCACTGCTTCCGCCGCCTCAACGACCTCTTTCGTCGCCGCTTCGGCCTGGCTTCGGACCTCCCTGACTGGCCCAGCCTGCTGCGCCATGGTGTGCCTATTTTTGACCTAGACATGGATCAGATTAGTTATGCCTTGCATTCTCAGTATGCTGACGCTTCTAGTGTGTCTGGATCTTATTACCCTTATTCTCTAGCTTAAGCGTAGCACCTGTGTATAGTACAGACACCCCTGCTGCGTCAGGCGTAGGCTCGTTTGCATTGTCTAGCCTAGGCTCCACACTCACTCCTCCTTCGTCTGCTGCTACTGCATCGCTGTCCTTCACACTTGACTCCGGTGCGTCTGCCTGCTTCTTTCGCGACCACGCCGCACTTACGCCGCTTGTCACGCCTGCCGCTGTCGCATTTGCTGACCCCTTGTCTGGTCCTATTATTGCTCGTAGCTACACTACCCTCCCCTGTCCAGTGGTCCCCTTGGGCTCCCTTACAAGCCTCCACATCCCCTCATTCCCCAGGAACTTAGTTGGTGTCGGCTGTCTTCAGGACCTCGGTGTCACCACTACGTTTCCTGTCATGAGTGGTACGCTGTTTGTACCGAGGCCGCCTTAAGTTCCCCCCTTACGACGTTCCCTCGGGACCTGGTGTCTGGCCTGTTTACACTGGACACTGCTCCCCCCCGGTTGGCCCGTCCTCCCCGGGCCGTGCGTCCACCGAGGTCGATGCGGCTTGCTTGTGTCAGCCGCTCACTCACGCGTCACTTCTGTGGCACCACCGCCTAGGTCACCCCGCACTCCCGCGCCTGCGTCACATGTCTCAGCACCATCTCATCCTAGGTCTCCCTGCGTCGCTTCCTGCCCTCCCTCCCTCGCCTACGCCACCGCGTACGCCCTGCATCGAGGGCCGGCTGCACCATGCTCCTCACTCCTCCTTGCTTCATCCTACCACCGCACCCTTTCAGACGCTGCACTTGGAGGTCTGGGGCCCAGCCCCGTCCCCGGACCGCGTCGCGAGCGCTACTTTCTAGTGCTCGTGGACGACTACCCGCACTACACCACAGTGTTTCCTTTGGAGCGGAAGGCCGACGTGCCTGGCGTTCTTATCCCGTGGGTCGTAGCTGCCGGCCTTCACCGCTCTCTCCCTGTATTGTGTCTCCACTCCGACCGTGGCGGCGAGTTCGCCTCTGGTCGGCTTGGAGAGTTTTGTCGTGCGGAGGGCATCACCCAGTCGTACACCCTACCGGACTCCCCACAGTAGAATGGGGTTGCTGAGCGACGCATCGGCTTGGTCATAGAGGTGGTGCGTACCTCCATGATTCATGCCGGTGCACCCCATTTTCTGTGGCTGTTCGCCATTCGCTACGCTGCTCACCAGCTTAACCTCTGGCCGCGCTCCCAGCGACCGCAGGTTTCGCCGACCCTTCTTTGGACCGGGTTCCCTGGTGACGCGTCCGCGTTCCACGTCTGGGGCTGCCTCGTTCACGTCCGTGCCTCTGGCACGGACAAGCTCACTGCCTGCACTGTTCCTTGTGTCTTCTTCAGTTCCCCCCTGTACTCGTCTGACTGGCACTTCTACCACCCGCAGGCTCACCGCTCCCTTCACTCCCGTGACGTCACCTTCGACGAGTCTGTCTCCTTTTACCACCGCTTTTCCCACCGAGGTCTCCCAGTTCCCCCCCCCCCCTGTTTCTGGTCCCCACTCTCCTGGTCGCCCCTGCTCCCCTTCCTCCTCGTCTTGCCCCGTCTGGTGCGTCTCACACTCCCCTCCCGTCGGTTGTCCCGGTCGAGGATTCGGCTCACTCTGGTGGCCTTGCGGCACATCTCTCGCCGCGTGTCTCCCCCCAGGTGTCTCCCTCTCTTCCGTCGTAGTTGCTACTGCCGCCGCAGCAGCCGCCGCCATCGTGGCCGCAGCAGACGTTCGTGGACTCTTGGGGTGCTGGCGTTGAGGAGGGTGCTAGTCCTGGGGTTCCTGTCGTGGCTTGTCTCGGCGGGCTCGGGGGTGGCACTAGTGCTTGAGAGGGTTCTCGCTCTGGGGGTGCTCGTTCTGAGGGTGCTGGAGAGGAGTGATCCGGAGGTAGTCACGTTGCGGCTGGTGGTCCTGGTGTCTGCCCTTTGCCTGCTCGGCCTTCCCACCCCTGACCGCTCGCCTGCACTTCCCTTGCCCCCTCCTCCCCTACCTGTTCACGGCCCCGTGTTTCCTCCGCCAAACTCCTCCCTGGCTCGTTTCCTGCCTCGTTCCCCCTCCTGTTACACCTCCTAGGTCTCCTGACTCGACGCCTCCATCTCACGTCTAGTCTCGCCGTGTCTCTCGTGCTCGTCATGTCTCTCCTGTTCAGCGCTCTCACCCTATGTTGCTTCGTTCCCACGCGTCTTGTCCTCCTCTTCTGCCATTGCCTCCTCCGTCATCGCTCAATGTCGCCCCCCCCCCTCTGTATGGCTTCCTTCGTGTTGCTCGTTCTCTTGTTCTTCTTGTCCTTGCCTCCCTTGTTACCGACCCGTCTATTCGTGTCTCCTATCTTGACGCTCTTGTCGCTGCTGTTGTTGACTTCGCCTCTACCCGCCGTCTTGACTACGCAACCACTCTGTTCTCTGACCCTGTCCATTTCTCCGTCCGTTGGGGGTGTTCCTGCCCTTGGCTGGGACGTCCTCGAGGACTGGCAGCATGAGCTTGCTTTCCTTTCCAAGACTGCTCCCCATCTCTACTCCATGCTTCTAGTCACTAAGGGTGACCTAGACGCCTTCGACATCTCGGCCCCTCGCACTTACGCTAAGGCGACCTCGAGACCCTGGGCATCTCAGTGGATAGCTACCTTGGAGCAGGAGATGGCATCTTG